CCCATCCTTGAGGTAGAATCCCTCAATCAGAGCTTTACCTGGGTGCTAATACTCTTTGCCTCCAGCATCAGATGATATGGTTTTATACAGTTACTGGTATCACCTATTTCTGTTCTTATTTATTTTGCAGCTTAAATTGTCCCAGATTTGACTGGTGGGATACTTTTTCAAGTTAGCCCTTGTGTTTCTTTGTCATATAATTTAAGTTTTTCCCTCCCTTTCCCTCTCTCTTTCTTTCTAGTGCTGGGATTAAACCCAGGACCTCACAGATGTGCACAGTAAGTGCTCTACCACGAAGCTAACCCCCCAGCCTACGTACTTTGTTTCTGACAACAAAATATTCCAAATTCATCTCATTCCTTCCTTGCTCTTGTCCTGGCTAGAATCAGCCTTTCTTCAAAGAGCTGCAGGTGCTCTTAGGGGATAATGGTATTTAGAAAGCAAGATCTGAGTCCTAGGTATCTGTCTATCCACGGGTTTTGTACTGATATTTTTTCCAATTCAATCACAAGAAATTTTTGTGTCTCCCTTCTCTCCAGCTGAGGTCTCTGGTTCTCAACAACATCCATACTTACTCATGTGCTTCATCCTATAAAACAGGCAAAATAGGTACAGAATTTCTGGGTACACCTGTAATCCCAGCAGTTTGGGAGGCTGAGGCAGGAGGATCACAAGTTCAAGGCCAGCCTTAGCAACTCAGTGAGGACTATGCAACTTCGCAAGATCCTGTCTCAAAAAATAAAAAAGGGCAGGGATGTGGCTCAGTGATTGAGGGCCCCAGGTACAACTCCCAGTACCAATAAAGAGTTGAGTCACCTGGTAGCAAATACCTGTAATCCCAGCAACTTGGCAGACTGAAGCAGGAGAGCACAAGTTTGAGGTTGGCTTGGGCAATTTAGTGAAATTCGCTCAAAAATCTTTTTTTTAAATATTTTTTTTAGTTGTAGTTGGACACACTATCTTTATTTTATTTATTTATAATATATTTTTTTTAGTTACACATGGGCACAATATCTTTATTTTGTTTATTTATTTTTGTGTGGTGTTAAGGATTGAACCCAGGGCGTCGCACGTGCTAAGCAAGCGCTCTACCGCTGAGCCACAACCCCAACCCTGTCTCAAAATCTTAAAAAAACATTATTTGTTTTTTTTTTTTTTTAAGAGCTGGGGATGAAGCTAAGTTGTAGAGTACACCTCTGGATTAAATTCCCAGTACCACACACTCACCAAAAAAAAAAAAAGAAAGAAAGAAAAAGAGTTGAGTTTCTTTGTTTATATATGCATTCCATTTCTAAAGTACTTAACCCCACCCTTGTTGATTTTAACTTGTGGAATATTTTGGAATATGTTAACACGATTTGAAGTAAAAACTCCATAGAAAGATCTACTGAAAGCAGTGTCTCCCTGCCCCAGTCGGAGCTCTATAGCTTCCTTTAACAAGACTGTAACCCAAGAAATCCTCACTTCCCCCTCTCCCCATAAGTAACTCACTGGACTCATTTTTGGTCTATTCTTTCTGTATTTTTCTTTGTAAAAACCTGGCATATCCATCTGCTTTCTTTTTTCTCCTTTCTTATACAAAAGCTAGCCCAGAACTTTGCTTTTTTTTTTTTAATATTTATTTTTTAGTTGTAGGTGGACACACAATATTTTTATTTCATTTTTTTTTTTTATGTGGTGCTGAGGATCGAACCCAGTGCCTCACATGTGCTAGGCGAGCGCTCTACCGCTGAGCCCCAGTCCCAGCCTAGGAACTTCGCTTTCTTAACAACATGTCTTGTCAATCATTGTAGCATATTATTATTATTCCTTTTTTAAGCTATGACACCCAGGATGGCTCTAAACTCCAGGGCTCAAGCAATCCTCCTGCCTGAGACTCCCAAGTAGTTGGGACTACAGGTGTATGCCCCTCAGCTAATTCGGTTGTTGTTATTACTGGGGATTGAACCAGGGGTGCTGTGTCACTGGGCTACACCCCCCCAGTGCTTTTTATTTTTGAGACAGGGTCTCTCTAAATTGCTTAAATCATCATTAAGTTGCTGAGGCTGGACTCAAACTTGCAATACTCCTGCCTTAGCCTCGTGAGTAGCTGGGATTATAGGCGTGAGCCACTGTGCCCAGCTCTCTTTTCTAATTTTTAAATCGCATACACTAAGAGGGCAATTACCAATTTAGTGAGTGCGTGGGTGCTAGCCACTGAGCTGATAGAGGGATAGAGGAATAGAGAAATGCCCTTCATGATACCAGACTCCAAGAGAAACAAATGTACAAAAACATAGTGCTTTGGAGGCCTGGAGGAAGGAGTCAAAACAAGAAACATTTGAAAGAACTGACACCTGAGCTTGAAATGAGAAAGCAGAGAACCAGAAGGGAATTCTGTGTGTAGAAATAGTACTCAGGCAGGCAGAGTTGAATAAGGACAACGCTTGTTGTGGAAAAAGGACTTGAACCTGCTAAAACTTAGAATTTGGGTGTGGGAGGAGGAAGGGATGGGGAGCAGTTAGAGACCCACAGAGAGGCTGGAGAGCTGGTGCCTCACAAGTGGTGCAGATAAAAAAACTGCACTGTTATGGTACCAGGGAAATGAGAAGGTCCTTAAAATACCATTTGGATCCATTCACCTTACAAATATTCAACTGACTGCCTACCTTATGCTGGTACCACAGGAGGGAATAAGTGTCAAGGCCCCAGCCATTAGGGAATTTACGTTAGCAGGAAGACAGAATTCAGCAAGCTTAGAAAAAGAAGAGAGTAAATTTCTGGGCAGGCACCCATGAGAGGAACCTAACACATTTGACTGAGGCAGAGGTGACAATATTTCCCAAAGAGTAAGAGAGACTCTCATAGTTAGGCGTGTTTGTGTTTGGGAGGGAGGAGTTGGGAAGAGTCCCAGTGCTGGTGCCTAGAGCAGAAAGAGTGAGACTTTGGGATTAAACGACAGGCGAGGTGGCACACACCTGTAATCCCAGCGACTCACAATTCAGGAGGCTGAGGCAGGAGGATCCCATATTCTAGCCAAGCCTCAACTCTTTGAGAGCAACAAGTAGTTTAATTACTCTTGTGTGCAAGGCATCTAGATTAATGTTCAACTCATTTCGAATGAATAAAGGCTGCCTTCATTGTAGACTTGGGCAAAGGATTTTTAGTTTTGTTTTGCGATGTTGGTGATCGAACCCCGGTCCTAGCACATGGTAGGCAAGGGATCTACCGCTGAGCTACGGATACCCCCAGTCATCGGGTGTAGGGCTTTGAAGTAGACCCTAGGAACTCTGGCCTTCCATGTTACGGTTCAAGGGTTCATTCTCAGGCACGGAGAAATGACAATTTAGGTTTAAACTTACTGAAATTTAAAATTTAGGATTGGGCATAGGTACAGCACGCTCAAAAAAATTTTTTTATTTATTATTATTTTTTAATCTAGAAGCACTTTACCACTGAACTACATCGCCAGTCCTTTTTGAGGCAAGGACTTGCTAAATTACTGAGGCTGACCTCGAACCTGTGATTCTCTTGCCTTGGCCTCCTGAGTCGGGGGGATTTCAGGCGTGCACTACCACACCCAGCTCAAACTAATTACTTTAATATGCATCAATCTTTTTATTTAAAGTAGATACAATGAAGCATAGCTCATTGGGAAACCTACCACCTGCCTAAATGAGCAGCGACTAAATCGTCCAGTCCCAGGGATTTTTTGGCACCTAACTCCGCCCACCAGCACTCAAGTGGCGGAAGAACCTCACGCCACGACGTGACAGCTCACACTGCAGCGGAGGCATCCTGACGTTACGCCGGCGGCGTGGGCGGGGCGGCCGGTCCTTTCTCTCCGCTTCTTCGGCTCCTCCCCCAGAGCTTCACACGCTCATTGTGAAGCGACAGCGGCCGCCAGTCTTTAAGGCGGTTTGAGCCCTAGAGACCCTAAATCCTTGGCGCGCGTGAGCGCCCGCGCTGCTCCTTACCCACACCAAAGGCCAGGGGTGCGAGGGTCACCTATTTGATTCTCTCCCAGCCTCTCGCCGGAGCTAACCTCCCGGTGCGCGCGGGCACCTCGCGCCGCGCTCCCTCCTCCCCGCCCCCCCTTCGGAGCTCCCGCCCGCGCGCTCCTCCCCTCTCCTCTCCCCGGCGACGCGCACGCGCGCCAGACCGGCTCGCGCCCTCTCGCTTTCCTCCGGCCCGCGAGACCCCCCTCCCCTTCCGCCTCGCGCCGCGGTCTTCTCTATCCACCCCCGACACCGCGGGGCTCCCCCCGCCCGCCATCGGCGGGTCCCCAGCTTCCCGATCCCCCTCGCTTCCCGCGCTCTTTGGCGGGGACCCAGCCCCGGCCCCCTCTCTCCCTCCCTTCCCTCCGATTCCCCTTCCGGACGCTGCCATCATGTTGAAGCCTCAGCCGCCACAACAGACCTCCCAGCCCCAGCAGCCGCCCCCCACGCAACAGGCCGTGGCCCGCCGGCCTCCCGGCGGCACCAGCCCTCCCAACGGCGGCCTCCCGGGGCCGCTGGCCCCCGCCGCTGCTCCCCCAGGGACTCCCGCGGCTGCCTCTCCCTGCCTGGGGCCTGCGGCTGCTGCCGGTAGCGGGCTCCGCCGGGGAGCCGAAAGCATCCTGGCACCGCAACCGCCGCCGCCGCAACATCAAGAGAGGCCAGGGGCAGCCGCCATCGGCAGCGCCAGGTGAGGAGGGGTGGGCTTCCTGGCGCGGGAACCCAGGCTCCAAGGAGGCGGCGGCGACTCGGTTCCAGCGGGGCGGGCCCCAGTCCGGCGCCTTTAGTGGCGCCGGGAGCCTAGGATCCCCGTGAAGCTAGGGGTGGCCTCTCCGGTCCCAACAGGTCAAAGGGAAAGGGTCCCTAAGCGACCACCAGGAAATCTAGGAGCCATGCTTGGCTCTCGGGGCCTAATTGGGGATCGGGTCTCTGGCCCTGAGGGGAGGCGGGGCGCGTCCCGCCAGCGCCGTCGGAACCGGGAGTTGGGGGGGGTGAGGAGGTGCTCGGGGTCCCCGGCTCCATTACCACGGAGGGTCTCGCGGTCTCCGGCTTCAGCCAATGGGGAGTCAGCTGCTGGAAAGGGTCCCCGGCCGTAGCCAATGGAGGGGGGCGCGCGGCCCACAGTTTGGCCAATGGGGAGGGAGGGACTTGGGAGCGAGTTGCTACCTCCCCTTTGCCGGTCTGGCCAGTAGGAGGGGAGCGGGGTGGGAGGGGGCACGGAAGGAGCGACTACTGGGAGGACTGCGGGCCGGGAACCTCCAGCGCGCGCGCGCCCTTCCCGTACGTGCGCGCGGATGCTCTGTCTTATGACCCGGGCATTCGCGTGTCCTGGTAACTCTTAGGGCAGGGGCTGGGAGTGTGCATGGAGGGATTCGTCTGGTGTTGGGTGGATGAGTAGTGGACGCACCACTCAGTTTCTTCTCTGTGTGTGCTAATACGATTGAGAGTCGCGGTGCACGCAGGCGCAGTGGGTTCTGATCGCGGGAGGGGGGATTTTGAAGAGGCCCGTGGGCTTTAGTGCGCAGGCGCAGACCGGGCGAGGCCTCCCGGTGGATGGCTTTTGCGGCTGCGCTGTCCCCCAGCCCCGCCAACGGCCCCCTCATCGCCCTCCTCAACTGCCGGTTACATCAGCCATCGAGGAGCAGTGTTACCTGTCGATTGGTGACCCCTGCAGTGTGGGTAACAGGCTGAATGAATAATGAGGGTGATGGGGTGGGGTATGGAGGGAACACCCCTCCTCCCAGGGTTTGGGGCATAAGGCTACTGAAAATGATTTTTTTTTTTTTTAACCGTCTGGGAGGTAGTGTGCCTGAGCTGAGTAGTTCTGCATCGCGCCCCTGAGCATTCACCTTCACATCTGGGGAGGGTTACTGGTTATTGAATGCTATAGCATTTGTCTGTTAAGCATGCAGCCCTATCCCCTTGGAAAAAGTGAGAGGGCTGTGTTGCATTGGCTGTTTGTTATAGCAGTTGACAGCCATTGTTGACTGGGGTCTTTTTTTTTTTTACGGGCATTTAGATTAAATGTGTTTATTGGCATTTAATGTCTACTTTCTTCCTTTTTTAGAGTATAAGAATATCTTTGGTTAATTGCCTTGTAGGCTAAATCATCAATGCTGATTAGTAACTAGTTTCTTGTTTCCCTCTCTTTTAGGGGACAGAGCACAGGAAAGGGGCCCCCACAATCACCTGTGAGTTCCTTTTCCCTCCTATATAGGATTCAAAAACCTGAAAGCGAAATATATGGGAGTATAGGGCAGAATAGGTGTTGAGATGGTCAAATGGACTCAGAAGGGCCAGAGGCACTACACAAATGAGGTGGGTGCCAGTAGAGTGTGGCCATTTAGAAAGTGGAGTGTTTATTCACTGCTTCTTTATTTCTCTTTCTTATGTTACTGACAGGTGTTTGAAGGTGTTTATAACAACTCCAGGATGCTGCATTTCCTGACAGCTGTTGTGGTAAGTGAGGACTTAACTCCTAGGTTGATTAAGGAATGCAGTGCATCAGTTTTCTAGAGTCACTCTGCTTAATCTTCCATTCTCCTAGGGCTCCACTTGTGATGTAAAGGTGAAAAATGGCACCACCTATGAAGGCATTTTCAAGACTCTGAGCTCAAAGGTCAGTGTACTCGAATTAGTTTGGTTTTGGTGCTGCATGTGAGAAGGAGGGAGAGAATGACATTTCGGGTGTGTTTTCAGTGGTATTAGAAAGTACTGTCAATCATTTATGTAGAACGTATGTTTAAAATTCCAAAATTTTAAATTTTAACTTTAAGCCTTTGCTGAGTCCTATGGCTGATGTTGAATACAGGCACATGAGAATGAGATGTAGGGCAAAATATGGAAAGGGTTAAGAGAAATACAAGTCATATTTTGCCTTTGCATTTCTTGATACTGACCCTTGGGTGTTGGGGAATGGGGCTTTTGTAGTTTGAACTGGCAGTAGACGCTGTACACCGGAAAGCATCTGAGCCAGCAGGTGGCCCTCGCCGAGAAGACATTGTAGACACCATGGTGTTTAAACCGAGTGATGTCATGCTTGTCCATTTCCGGAATGTTGACTTCAATTATGCTACTAAAGGTATTATAGCTCTAGGCTATTGTGTCAGGCTTTGTAGAGGGAAGTTTGTGTGCAGGTAGAATGTATTAACTTTTTCTTTACTACCCTTCATAACTAAGGGAGATGGCTGAATTTTTCTTCTTGAAAATGTGTCTTGATATCTAATACATGGTGGGGCAAATTCTGGCCTGTGTTGTGGTACTTCATATTTTCTCTGGTTAGTTTTCAACTTACTACTCCTTTTAAACTATCAAGATCAGGGTTTTCATGCTCTGCCCTACCTTCCATGCCCCATAAGAATAGATACCCTAAATTTGGGTTTGTTGGAATACCTTTGTTTCTGAACTATTTATGAGGGGAGGGGGTAAAGGTGAGGGGAAAGAAAGCTGTCAAATGTCACCTGACTCCTTCTGATCTTCAACTCTGCCCCCACAGACAAGTTCACTGACTCAGCCATTGCCATGAACTCGAAGGTGAATGGGGAGCACAAAGAGAAAGTGCTTCAGCGCTGGGAGGGCGGTGACAGCAACAGTGATGATTATGACCTCGAGTCTGACATGGTATAGTTTCCTTCCTTGAGAACTGGGCAGCTACAGTGTGGGTTGATGACAGTGACATTGTTGGAACAAGGAGTTGATTCTTGAAAATGAGGGAGGAAAATATTGACTGCTGCTTTTTTTTTGTGTGTGTGTGTGTGGTCAAATAGAAAACAGCTAAACAAAAGTACCAGTTCTTTTACTTCTTTGTAATTGACAATGATTAACTTTGCTTTATGGCATCATTTTTTCCAATATGACAAAAAGTAGAAGTGAGATTGACTAATGTAGACCCATTTGTCTTTGTAAAACGACTACCTTCATACTTTTAGATTCTTCTGAATGAAAAATTTGTTTAATTTGTACAAAAGTCTTTTTAATTCGAACTTTTCATACTCATACACAGGTCTAGTTGGTTGCTTTTTAAGTATTTTTTTTAGTGGTTGATAGATCTTTATTGTATTTACACGCGGTGCTGAGAATCGAACCCAGTGCTTCACACATGCCAGGGGAGTGCCTTATCGCTGAGCCCCAGCCCTAGTTGGTTGTTTTTAACACTATATACATGTATCAGTGTATATACACAACAAATTTTATTTCTTCTTTTACTTATCTGGTTTGTTACCATTATTTTGCTATTAAAACCCACACTGTAGTCTCACTGGGCACAGCTGTGCACTCCTGTAATCCCAGTGGCTTGGGAAGCTGAGACAGGATGGTCACAAGTTCAGGGCCAGCCTTAGTAACTTGGCAAGGCCCTAAGCCATGTGGCGAGATTCTGTCTCAAAAAATAAATAGGGCCCCTGGGCTAAATTTTCCAGTACCGAAAAGAAGAAAAAAAATAGCATCTTTTTGAATGTGGTAGTGCACATCTGTAATTCCAGTGGTTCAGTAGACTGAGTCAAGGAATTACAAGTTTTGAGTCTAGCCTCAGCAACTTAATCAGACCCTGTCTCAAAATAAAAAGGACTAGGGATCTTAACTCAATGTTAAAGCACTTCTGGGTTCAGGCCCCAGTACTGCTTGCCCAATAGTGTCATACTGGACCTTAGAACATGTATTTCCATACATACAAGCTAGAATTTTTCAAGAACATAAACCTGAAAATGGATTTGTTAGGACTTTCCACTTACATTAGTTATTGCCTATTTATGCTACAAATTGGCATTATTAGTTGATGCTCTCACTAGCCCTGTACTATTATTACATTCTTGGATTGGTTACATTTTTGTTCTTTACCAGGTGGAAAAACCAGGTTCCTTTTCTTGCTGAGTTTTAAAACATTCTCCCTTTCCCTTCCCTAGTCCAATGGATGGGACCCCAATGAAATGTTCAAGTTCAATGAGGAGAACTATGGTGTAAAGACCACCTATGATAGTAGTCTCTCTTCTTACACGTGAGTATTTTGGTGCTTCCAGGAGGTACAGTTGGGGTTGTGGGGTCACTGACAGAAGGCAGATATCTAGGTGGAACATAGTTTTTACACATGCTTTTCTGAGTATCTAGGTAACCCTCCCCCTTTCCTTTCCTGGCTGCCTTATGAACTGCTCCCTGAAAGGTATTCTGATTCCAGGCCACCCATGTATAGAACTAGCTACTTGCTTATTCATCTACCCATATCTTTTCTCTAGAGTATAAAAAACATAAGCAGGGGCTGGGGATGTGGCTCAAGCGGTAGCGCGCTCGCCTGGCATGCGTGTGGCCCAGGTTCGATCCTCAGCACCACATACAAACAAAGATGTTGTGTCCACCAAAAACTAAAAAATGATTATTAAAAAAAAAAATAAAAAGCATAAGCATTATATTTAGGATATGCTAGCTGGGCATGGTGGTGCATTCATGTTATCCCAGCTCATCAGGAGGGTGAGATGGGATGATGGCAAGTTTAAGGCCAGTTTGGGAAACTTTGTGACATCCTGACTAAAAGTAAAAAGGCCTGGTGGCAGAGCACCCTTGGGTTCAATCACCTGGGCTGAAAAAAAAGATTTTGAACATAACTTGGTTCTCTGCCTAATACCCAGTAAATACTCATTTAAATATTTGTTGACTGGGATGGTGTGTGGCTCAGTGATAAAGCACTTAACTAGCATCATAGGACCCTAGGTCTGATCCCCAGCACTGCAGAAGAGAAACTGTTATTGAAGGAATTAAGTACCGTATGCCTGAATGCCTAAAGTGGTTATGGGACTGATAGGAATGTTTTCCATTTTCTTCTTTTGTTCCCTGGTGGGTGATGGGATATGGTGGTCTGTGGGTGTTTGTTCAGGGTGCCCTTAGAAAAGGACAACTCCGAAGAGTTCCGTCAGCGGGAGCTGCGTGCAGCCCAGTTGGCTCGGGAGATTGAGTCAAGCCCGCAGTACCGCCTGCGGATCGCCATGGAGAATGATGACGGGCGCACTGAGGAGGAGAAACACAGTGCAGTTCAGCGGCAGGGGTCAGGGAGAGAGAGCCCCAGCTTGGCATCCAGGTATTTATGGGGGCAGCCAGGACTCTTTGAGGCTCAACAAATAGGATTCAC